TGCTGTCTCTCTTTGTTCCTTCCCAACTGCTGTCTCTCATTATTCCAGGTTTGTCCCATAGAATATTAGCTCCCCCACTTTTGGGGTTTTGTAACCCAGCCTCTCCAAAAAGCTTCTGGGAAAGCCAGATACCACATCCTGCAATACGGTGCTTCATCCACATTCGGAAGCCATAGGAGGACCCCGAGCCTTCCTGGGTGCAGTATGGCTGGACCTGAGCAGCAGAGCTGCTGTGGCCCCCACGTGGAAAACACAAAGGAAGCTGTGCTAAAGCAGATCCCATCCTAAAAGAGCCTGTGAGAGTTGGCAGTGCTGGAGATGAGGAGTGGCAGTAGGAGACAGGAGTCTCCACCGACAAGGAACCAGGGCCCAGGGCAGAGCACATGAGCATACCTAGGGAGGCACATAAACTGGATTTGCTGGGCTCCTTTGCATCTCTCATATCTGTTCACACGCTCTTATGATATGTGGATCTCATCTGAAAACAAGAGCCCTGACTTCTTACCTATGAGAAGAAGTGCGAGTCCAATCCTTCAATACAATGATGAGGTAAGTGTCCATCAACAGATGAATGGATAAAGAAGATGTTGCATATGCATGCAATGGAACATTACTCAGCCATAAAAGAGAATGAAATCTTGCCATATGCGACAACGTGGGTGGACCTAGAGGGTGTTATGCTAAGTGAAATAGGTCAGAGAAAGACAAATAATATCATTTATATGTAGAATCTTTTTAAAAAAGGAAAAAGAAAAAAAACAAGCATAATAAAACATAAAAAGACTCACAGGTACAGAGAACAATCTGGTGGTTGCCAGAGGGGAGGGACTGAGGGGATGAGTGGAATAGGGGAAGAGGATTAAGAGGTAAAAACCTCCAGTTATAAAACAAGTCATGGGGATGTAATGTACAATATAGGAATATAGTCAGTAATATTGTAACAACTCTGTATGGTGACAGCTGGTAACTAGGCTTGTGGTGATCATTTCATAAGGTATAAAAATATTGAATCTATGTGTACTATGTGATACACTTGAAATTAAAATAACATTGTAAATCAGTTATACTTCAATGAAAAAAAGAGCTAAAAGCTAGGTGTGATAACCTGCAATGACTTAAAGATCCAGCCCCCACAGCAAAAGCTGCGGCTGATTTGGAGGCTAACTGATATTCAGCCTCATTCTCCTCCATTACGCACATCGGATTTCCTTCACTTTCAATGAGCACCTGCTTGGCTGGCCTAGGTTGCTTGCCTCCAGGGCTGACCCAGAGCTTTATCCTCTGCAGTTAGTTATGCTTAGTTGCTGTGCCTTTTTCAGCCCATGGTTGCTGCAGTTGACCATTAACGGTTATCACTGGGCACTGAATCACCAAGAGATGTCCCATGAATCTCCTGAGTTCCAGATACATTGCTTTCTACCCTTATAGTGTAGCAGCAACCCCAAGTCCTAATGCTGATCAGGCCAATTAGCACTGCCTGTTCAGTAACTTCTTTCTTTACTGCTGGTCCACTGGCATGAGGAACCTAAAGCTACAAAGTGGGAGTCACAGCTTCAAATACAAGGAAAATTTCACTGTGTGCCCTGGCGGAAGTGTTTTTCCCCATACCCAGAGAATTTACAGGAATGGTAAAGGCAAATTTCATCATCAGGTCACCAGGATTGATCTATGAGAGAGCCAGTCCTACTTCTACCCCTTTGTTCATAGACTTGCATATTCTACTCATTAAGGATGGTTCAGCACATACCACGTGTAAAGGACAGCACCCTATGAGGTACTGTCTCTAAGCTCAGCTGACCTTTGACTCAGCTGAACATTTACTTAGTTGTCCATCCCACTGTTCCCTTAGGCAGGCTACTTCTAGGTAAGGGGTTATGTTTACCAGTGAATCATGTGGTAATGAGTCCATTGTCTAATTTCCTTTGCCATAAAATGGGCCCCTTGACCTGCGGCACTATGTCGGAGACGCCATGATGATGAACTATAAGGATGATGGCTTCAGATAATAGTGCTGGTGAAGGTGATGCCATCAGAAAGAGTGCAAATCTATCAAATTATCAATTCCAGCAAAAAAGAAATCACTGCCTCCTTCAAGGTATAAGATAACCAGTGTGGTCAGCTGGCCATCGGGTAGCTGGCAGGTCTGCCTGGAGAATGATGCCAGATCCAGGGCTCTGCATCTTTCTCTGATGCTAGAAGGCCAACCGTTATTAAGTCATCCTTGTTGAGAGGGTGGCAATGTAGTTGAGTCCATGCAGAACTTTCATCCATGCCACCATGGTCATTATCTTTGGGCTCACTTAGCAAGTTCTAGGATGACCAAGGAGAAGAGAGAGGCTATGGTGGTGGTTGTGGTTTTTAAGTCTCTTCTGAAGTGGATACTCTTTGGTAGACATTAATGTAAGACACAGAGATCTGCATGCTTTGTGTTCACCTCCATAAGTACATATACATATCTCTTCCCCAAACCTCCCAGTCTTGTTCCTTCTTGGCCATTGTCCAATTAGCCAAGTCATTCATCATGGTCCAGGAGTCAATGTGTGTAGGTACGAGGACCATATCTCCCTCTATAGGAAATCCATGACCAGGTGTACCGCTTTCAGCTCTACCCATCAGGAACTTTTCCCTTCACTCCTGTCCTTCATGACCACCCCTGATAGGGTCTGTAATCAGGAGTAGTCCTTTCCTACCTTGCACCAGCAAATCACATTGAACTATCAATGAACCAAGCCCACATCTTTTCATCCCCCATCAGTTGGTCGTAGGGACCCCTTTCTGATGCCGTAAGTGAGCTGCACTGGTAGGTGACAGGAGAGTCTGGGACACCTGTTCTGATCATTTATTCATGATTCCTGAGTGACTACTTTTACCCTACAGTACAGTGCTGCTGTGCCTGCTCAGCCTTACGACTTGGTGCATCTTCGGTCATCCAATAAAACCAGCTCATGATCAGCAGTTAATGGCACATGGCCTCCCGGCTTCACGTGGTTAAACATTCAGTCTCTACCAAAGCTCGGCAGCAGTCCAGGAAGTATTTTTCAAATTGAGAGCACTTCTCTGCCACAGAAGTCATGGCCCTGCTTCAAAACCTAGAAATCTGCAGAAGGCTGTCTGCCGGAGCTGACCAAAGCATCCTCACTCACCATAGACACTTTGGGCACCGTCGTATCTGCTGGTCGTATCAGCTGCTTCAGCAGCAGAACAGCTGGCATCACAGCCTGGATCAGCTGCAAGGCCCACTTTTCTCAGGGTCTGAGTCAAAACTGGAAGCCTTCTCAGTCACCCGATTAAGGGTCAAATAGTGTTCCCAAGCACGGCAAATGCTACCACCAAAATATAATCAAGTGTTGTGCCTCTTTCTCAGTGATAAGAGGTGTGAGGAGCAATAACTTCTCCTGTAACTTAGAAGGAATGTCTCCTCTAGGGTAGAGGTTGGCCAACAACTGTCCACAGGCCAAATATTGTCCCCCTCCTATTTTGGTAAATGAAGGCTTCCTGAAACACAGCCACAACCATTCATTTATGTATCATCTATGGCTGGTTTCATACTACAACGGCAAAACTGGGCAGTTACAAGAGATACCTTATGGCTTGCAAAGCCTCAACTGTTTACTAACCATCCCTGTAAAGATAAAATTTGCCAACTCCTACTGTAGGAAAGAGGTTCCCTAAAAATTTCATCAATGTGACAGATCCCCGAACTTTTGTGAAGTTTATTTCCCATCTAGAGGGCATCCCGACTTCTTGACATGTCTTACTCCTGGGTCCATGAATATAATGCCATGAACATAGTGGACAGCAGGATATTCTGCAAAATCCTGTAAGACTATACATTAAGACAAAGAACAGAAGCTAATTAACTTGGCCCTGAGGCAAAACAGTGAAAGCGAACCGATACCTTTGCCATGAGTACACATCTATGTTCAACTGCAGCCACTCCCTTTTAAAACTGAAAACTCCATTTCCCAGAATCCCCTTTCCTATATGGTTCCAGGTTACAATTTACCAAATAAGAGAATTCATGCAAGATTTAGAGGGTACAGGAGAAGTCGAAGCCATTATTCTCTGGTGGGGGTTGCAGCCAAATCCATGAAGAGACAACAGTGTCACAAAAGCTTCACACAAGTTCTTGAGAACTGTCCCCTTTACCACTGCAGATTGAGATGACTGGAGCCTCTCGGAGATTTCTGAGACTTGCAGCAGTTTCCTGGCAAGCTTTTGAAAACCATGCCCTTCATTGCTTTAAGAAGAGATACGGTGTGTCAGCTTCTCTGACCTTCAGCAAAGGTTTCTTTGATTTCCCTCCCTCCGCTTGGCTCTTCCCACAGTTATGTAAGCCCCTAATTCTGTATTAAAGCCTTTATTCCTAGAATATGTAGAATTGCTTTTGTCTTTCTAACTAAACTCTGAAAGTCTTCAGTACTGCACAGAGTTCTGGAATTTGTTTTCCAGTCTGTTTAGATGCAAAAGTAGCAATGGAGGGGGAGGGCATAGCTCAGTGGTAGAGTGCGGTGCTTAGCATGCATGAGGTCCTGGGTTCAATCCCTGGTACCTCCATTAAAAATAATAATTAATAAATGAATAAATAAACTTAATTACCTACCCTATAATGACTTCATTAATTTTGGAAAAGGGGACACTATTAGTCCACGGCATGCAGTTACTTAATTGGCAAGTGGTCTATAGGAGGCAAGGCTTTGGAAAGCCAAGTAACTATAATAACAGAACATCATGGAATATCACCTCCAAGGTGAAGGATTGTTACTGCATCTGGCACCTCAAATCACAGAGAAAGAAACACAGCATCTCTGGATTTGGAAGGCACCGTGTATCTCACTGGGCATGCCGCCAAGGCCTCTTTACCCATAAAGTTATCACAGCGGGGCAGCAGGGCGTCTTGAAAAGTTCTTTGGCCTCAATTTTGGATGGATCTTGAGCCTATTTTCTCATATGTAAAGTGGCCATAAATAACTTCTTCCTAAGGTTATGGTGACTATAAAATGAGCTAACAGGGGAGAAAGCCCTTGGAAGCACACATCCTCAGGTGTTGCCTGTACCACTTTGCAATCCAATGCCCAGTCCAACGACAGACTTTTTGTCAGCCCAGAGTAAAAATTGCCCCATAAGGATCAGCAACAATTCTATGTTTTTCTATTGAATTGTAACATAGATGCAGAAGAGCATCTGAAACACAAATGTGGTGTTCAACCACATATTGTGGGAATAACAATAACACAACAGCCTCCTAACTAGCACTCCAGTCAGAAATAGAATGTGGCCACTTACCCAGCAAAACGTCACCCAGATGAGAGGCAGGTGGGGGTTGAAATCAAAGAAGCTTCTACCCAGTGCCGTCTGTGGCACAGCCTCGCATCCAGGGACATGTGGAGGTGTGCTAATTTTCCCAGGACCCCCGAACTCTGAAAGCACAAGTTGGAGTTATTCTGAGCTCACCCCACCCCACTCCTGAGACAGGCAGATCGCTAGCTCTCCTCTCGGCCAGGACAAGTTGCATGTAGAACACCAGAGGGCGGCCACTCCCCACAGACAGCGGTACCTGGAGAAGCCACAGCTAAACCAAGGGCGAAATAGCCAGTCTCCCGGGTCCCCTCTGGTCCCTCCTGCTCAGGCCCGCACCACACATCAGACCCGTGCAGTGTAGAGATCCGGGGCATTGGTAACTGGGAGACCTACCGCTTTCTACCTGTGACCTTGAACAAGTGACCTCACGTTTCTCCAAGCCTGGAAAAATAGGGCCCAAAGATAGTACGCACCTCATGGGGTTGCTGGAAGGACACGTGAGACCGTGTGGGTATACAGCAAGACACTGTCCAAATAGTCGTTGCTCTCAGGCATCGTAACAGTCCATCTAACTGGATTCTCACCAGAGTCCTGACAGGCAGAGTGGGTGAACGCGATTCTCATTTTTCAGTTGAAGAAACTGAGGCTGAAAGGAGTCACATGAGCTGTTAGCATCATGATGGTCACAGTCATTTTATTTCCTACGCCTTTCTCTCTACCATTTCACAGTGCTGGCGGCTGGCCTTACGAGACTCCCTTAGAACTCGTTAGGGATTCTGGAATTCTGAGGGCCAGAGAAGGCGAGTTTTATCTTACCCAAGGCTACACAGTGAGCCAGGGGCCAATTCAGGACTCAACGAGCCGGTCCAGTGGGCTCCGTGTGGTGTTCCAGCCACAGCCCCAGACACCCTGACAAGACACAGCCTCGCTGTTCCGTTCTTGATTGACTGTCAGGGGTCCCAGCCTTGTCTTGTCTCCTTAACCAGACTGTGAGCTAAAAGAGAAAAAAGAAGTCTTGAGGAATATATATTACTATAAAAAAGCTCCCATGGCATGTTGCTAAATGAAACCAAGGATTACAAAACAGTAAGTGCAAGACCCCAGCGCGTACTTCTGTACATCAGCAAAGGAAAAAAAAGTAGAAGGGCTTAATAATACACAGGAGTAAAAATGCTTATCCCTGGACGGTAGAATTACAGGTAATTTTTGTATTTTCCCCTTGTGCTTTTGTATGTTCCTAGGATTATCCAATAAGCATGTTTTATTTCTGTGTTCAGAACAAGTGTGTGTGTGTGGGGGGTGATACTGTTTCAATTGTCCTTTTTCTTTTTAAATGCTACATTAAGAGTCAGGGATCTTGGGCTGTCTTCCACATTAATTTTTTGTGACTTCGTACAAGCCTCTTAACGCTCGTGAGTCTGTTTCTCTGCCTGAAACGTAGGGAGGACCCCTGGCCCCCTCCAGCCAGAGGCTCAGACTCTTCCAGGCGGGGCTGCCTCAGATGACTCCCTCTTCTCCTGGGCAAGTTCCAGGCAGTCGTGACTCCTGCTCCTGCCTCCACTTCCCCCACGCCATTAATTAATCCCTCGCCTCCTCGCAGCTTGAGTTTTGTCCCCTATTCTCCATACTGCATTCTACAGAGGTCACCACTGGCAGCCTCCTCACTGCCAAAACCAAGGGCCTCCCTCCCTCCTCTCTCTCTCTCTCTCTCTCTCCCCCCAAATCCCTCCCCAGTTCCCCAGCACGGAGCTCTCTTGAACTGCCCTCCTCCTTGGAGCATAGTCTTCCTTCTACCGCTCTGACCACAGCTCCCCTCGGCCCTCCCTCGGGCTTCTGTTTCTCAGCAGGGGTTTCTTGGGTTCAGAAAGGGGCCCCTTTCTGTATCTCCAGTCTCCCTGGGATGACCTCGCCCACACCAGGAGCCTATCAAATGGTTCTCACACCCATCTCCAGCACACACCTGGCTCCTGAGCTCCAGGCCTGATAAATCCACCCAGGGGCCCACCCCACACTCAGCACAACTGAGCCCTTCTTACCTCCATCCCCTCCCACCTGTCACTCAGCCTCCTCCAGCATCACCTCTGAAGATAGCTTTCCAGGGCCAAAACCACAACTGCTGAGCCTGGCCTCTGCCTCTCCTCCTCCCTGGCCACATGGAGTTGTCCCCAGGTCTTGGTCAACTCGCCTCTCAAGTACCTCTCTAAGCTACCCTCCTCTCCAAACCCTAGCGAGGTCCCCACGCCTCTCCCACAACTAGCAAAGCCATTCTCAATGTCTCACTCACACTCCACAGCCCTCAGTGTGACAGTTCTACCCATTCTCATGCAACAGCCCAGACCTTCTTAGCATTCAGCCTGCGTCCCTCACTCATTCAGGGGACATCACCATGGACCCCAAAACCTCTCATTTGCAGGACCTCCATGGACTCCCCACTAGTCTTCTTGCCTCCACTCCCCATCCCTCCAGCCTGGCCTGAAACAGAGGTTACCTCGTTAGTATCATCATAACATCATTGAGCCCTTCCTCTGTGTCAGGCATGGAGGGCTTCACCTGCATTCTCATTTACTCATTTATTGTTCACAATGACCACATGAGAAAGGTACTATTATTATCTCCATTTCAAAGATGAGAAAGTGAGCTATACAGAGTGTAAGTAACCCATTCGTGATTAAATAGGTACTTATGCAGTTACTAGAGGCTCAGAACTGCGATTTGAATACACACGGTCTGATCTGATCATGGAGCCGCCTTCAACCATGCCGTCACACTGCGAACTTGCCTCCTCTGCCAGAAGCACCTATAGGCTAAAGCCCACGCTCTTCCGCCTGGCCTCTGGGGATCACTCAGACATGGCTTTCCAGTCCTGTCACCTATTGTGCCCAGCTGCTGCCTCCCAGCCCTCCATCCTGACTGCACTCCTCCCCTGCCCGCTTCCACATCTCAACCCCTGTCTGCTTGCAACTGGGGACTTGTCTGGCTCAACCGCATCTCCAAGTGTCAAAGCCGTCCCATCCTTCACGGCCATCCCAAAGGCTTCTCCCTCCATGCCGGGCAGGCCTGGCTACAAAGCAGTCACAATGGGGGAGGGCTGGTGACTGAGGGACAGGAGACCTGAAAGCTGGTTCTTGCCCTTCCAGAAGGCACTGGGTAGGACTAGACCATCCTTAGGTCCCCATCCTGCTCTAACAGTCTAGGACCCGATGCTTTCCTGACCCCTGAAATGGAGGTGAAGTTGCCCTCTCGAATCCCTTTAATATTCACAGAATGGAGAGAATGTCAGGGCTGGGAAGGACTTCAGAGAAAACATAATCCCACCCTCACATTACCCCCACCAAGGAATGCTTAGGCCCAGGGAAGGGCAGAGGCCAGGCTGGCCATCTGGGGACTGGTGGGAGGGAGGCCATGCTCTCTGCTTAATGAAGGACCCATCTCGGCAGGTCCCCAGCCCTTCAGAGAAAGGGTGGGAGGAGCCTGGCTCTCATCCGGCGCGGCCCGCCCATCCCCAGGAGGCCTCGGTAGTTTTCCATAACCAGCAGGCCTGCAGCCCAGGACATGTGCTCCCCTCTCCCCTTGCCCCCTGCATTCCTCTGCACTCTCAGGCAGCAAAGTGGCATTCAGGGCCCTGATGGGGCAGGGCGAGGGAGGCCCACACACAAAGACTCACAGATACCAGTCGAGCCACAGACATGCAGACCCAGAGAGATAACACAGATCCAGATGAAGCCAAAGGAACCAGACACAAACAACATGCAGATACAATACACCCACCTCGCCAGACACGTAGACCCATTCTCAGAGGCGCCCACAAATAAGACCATCACACAGAGACATGCGTCCCGGCGCAGACACACCCAGGCACGTTGACACCTGGAGGCTCACGTGCACACTCAGCGGACACCCAATGCCCAGGCCCTGCCGTCCTCCTCCTCCCCCTGAGAGCCGCCCCCTGCCCCCTGCACTGTCCATTTGATCAACATCAGTCAAGGAAAGGGAGAAAATTCCCGGGCTGCCCCAGTCCTGGAAGATAGGGCGGGGGCTAGAGAAACCCAGGGCCGGCCAGGCTCCCTCTGCACTGGGAAGGCACTACTTTTCAGGTCTGAAGAATTGACCAGACCATCCCCACCCTGTTTCCAGAGGCCAGGGTGAGCCTGATTCTGGGGCGCCACCATTCCATGACCCTTTCTCCAGCTTCTCAGATTCCAGCTTTGTCCCTGGCTATTAAAAGCAGAGCAGAGGGGCATTCAGCAGCCATCCCCCCAGTTCATTTCCCTCCCATCCCTCTCCACCACCACCCCCTCCTCCCTACCTGACTCCTCCTCCACCCTGACACTTGTCTCCCTCACTTTGTCTCCACACTTCAGCCCCAGTCTGTCCTCCAAGAGACTAACTCCACACCTTCACGGCATCCTCCACACTCAAGAACCCAGAAACACAGCTCCCTGGCCAGATGGACCCAGTGGCCTATATGTGCTCCAGAACCTCCTGTTGGATGTTCCACGACTACCTGGTGGCCAGTGGGTCCAGCAGGAGGACTGACTGCATGCACATCACACCTCATGCTGCAGTCAGCAGAGGTGGCTCCGGTCCCAACCTCACCCCACTTATCTGGGGACCTTGGACAGGTGACTTCAACTCTGAACCTCAGTTCCCTCATTTATAAAACGGGATTCATGATGCCGCCCAGCTCTCAACGGTGTATACAGTTTATCACGGGGCCCAATTCAGAAGCCTGGTTTTAACCAAGAAATGGGCTGTGAGACTTGCAACTTCTCAGCCTCAGTCTCCCTGCCTGGGAAACGCGATGGTAACTCTTGCTACCGTGGCGTGGTGAAATACCGTCGGGAGCAGCGGCCTCTAGAGGGGGTGGCCGCCAAAGGGTTCCGCTCCCCCTACACCCCTTCCCCGGCCCCTTGGCCCCCGCCCCCGCTCCCCGCCGCGCCCACCTTGCCCCCGGCCCCACTCAATCCGGTTCCCACGCCGCCTGGCCCCAGCCGGCGCGGGCTGTCAGCCGGAAGGGATTTGGGATCAGCTGCGTCGGCACAGAGGCCGCCTTGTCCCGGTGGGGACCCCAGGCCGCAGCCCGGCCGCTCGGTCACGTTGCTCGGCGGCCGCGGTGCCAGCAGCCGCCCGCCCCTCCCGACCTGGGGCCGCTTCAAGGGCCGGCGCCGGGTTTCCTGGCCCCGCGCCCAGCGCCCCGCCGGCGGTTTGGGGGGCGCGCGGCGCGGAATCCGCAGGGCCTCTCGGGGCGCATCGTTTCCGCCCAGCTCGGGGCAGGGGTGGGGGGCGGCTGGAGGGGGCTGCTGCGTACTCGTCTCCCGCCTGCTCCCACCCACCCAACCGCAGGCAGCAAACGAAGCCCACCCCTCCCTGCAGGCGGCGCAGGCCGGGCCTCCTGCCCTCTCCCGTATCCCGGGCATCCCAAAGGATGACCACAGATTTCCCCGGAAAAAGCTTTGGAACCTAGGAAACTTGGGATGAACTCAGCTGAAGATGGACTGTGGGTGGGGCGGGGTGGGGGTGGGGGTCGGCTCCTGGCGCCCTGGGTGGAGCTGTGCGGTTACAGTCAAGGTGTGCTGGGTCTGAGTTGGAAGCCAATCAGATGTTGTCTGGTCCCGTGTTGGGATCTTCCCAGTGTTCTGAGCTG